TACACACCAAACATATCATAATAAGGTTTCATATTTTTAGAACTTGAGAAGATTAGTAAACCAGGGGAGTAACATTGTTAAAAGGAGTATCATTTGGTCTTACAGATTTTCCTTGGTGGTATGCTAAATTAAAAAGAAATCTATGTTAAGAATTGATGCACTATTCTAGAAATTTCTAAAAGATAGGAAACTTGACAAAAATCTAGACAGATATTTTAAAGACAAATAACATGTGAAATATTTGTGTACAAATATCTAGAAATTTCTAAAAGATGGGAAACTTGACAAATATCTAGATATATATTTTAAAGACAAATAACATGGGAAATATCTAGATAGAAATATCTAGAAATTGTAATTCTAAAGAAATGGAGTCCGCTATAAATACCCCATTTATGGATTGCACAAATGAATCAAAATTTCCCATAAACTCACAGCTTCTTGCTTGTTCATTCAAATAAAATTTTCACTACAATGAAATTATTCCAAACAAGAAAAAATCATCATATTACATAAAAATATAGCAACAAAAATCATACTCAAATATCATATTTTCAGAGGGACATATTTGACCATCGCGGATGAAATCTGTTGCAATTGAATAAGAAGCCATAGATAATAGTTGACTTGGAAGATGTGGAAATTGTTAGACATGGTTAAAATTATTAGTTATAATAAATATCAGTAGCATTAGCTATGAGATAGAGTTCATAGTAACATATAGTTTCAATACGTGAAGTTCTCCATGTTGTTCTTCTAATTTTATTTTTATTTATTTATTTGTTTTCTACCACTCCTTTTTCGCTCATGGATCCAAGATTTGTAATTTAATAATAGAGATGGTGTCTATCATATAGATGGAAACACTCTTGTTTGGCCGCATCTCAATTAATTTGAATAATAATTAAGCATTTTCTTATTTCAACAAAATTGAACATTATATTGTAATAAAATATACTTTTGGATATATATTCCCGTATCCTAAGATTTAGGATTGTAGAGGAACGGCACTCGGACACACATGCACCTCTTACCCTTATCTAAATTCGGGTAACATATATTTAGATCCATCTTAATATATATATAGAAGTTTAAGCGTGACGAAGTACTTTGACAAAAAGCTCTTATTTCACAAGGACTTCACTACACCCAACAATCGGGACATGATTATCTGGACAAAATAATTCTACTATATAATTTTATTTTTTTAATATATTCGAAAGTTTTCCAAGCACTTCTATTTATGTAGTGAAAACAAGATAACTAGTAGCCAAAATGCAGAAACATACACCTTTCATCATGATATTCAATCAGACAAGGCAATCCCCCGAAGCCAAAACATTCACTGGTAACATGAGAGTATTAGTGATCAAAATGTATACGAATTGATGGGCTTTCAGTAAATTAACAGTTGATAAAACGATATATAAACAACACAAGTAGTTACTTAAATGATTCAGCAAGAAAAATATGCGATTATTGAAGAACAACTGTATACATTTATGAATTGGAAGGTACTGTCTAAGGCATTGTTGATATATCATATATGCTATGTTGTTGTTTTAATGTGTTTTATTTGGTCATTTATATTTAATTAATTCCTATTTAAGAGCATTTGGAGTCATAAATTGAGTATAGAACTACAAATAAATAAGTTTTTCCTGCTGACAATTTTAGCATACAATATATAGGTTATTACTCAAGATAGATCACCTTTCAATTTTCATCAAAACATCTTAGAAATCATTAAAAACCCTATATTCATCGGATCTTGAGTGCTTCACTCTTTAGGGTCTTGTTTTGAATCCTTTTTTACATTTTCTCATTTGAGATACAATACAACTTGAGAAATAAATGCTTGAGAAATAAATGTACTATTATCATTGTTATCGGCATTATGGTTGTTTCCTTCGTGCAAAATTACCCTTCAAAATTTTACCATGCTTTGGTAGTCGCTCATTTGCTGTGAAGATTCCATTTAAATGATTAAATCAGTAAAAAGTTATATATTGGCTTTCAGTATGTTCCTCCATACACATCGATTATGGGAAACTCAGTGGGTAATGATTTCGTAACCCTTTAGTTAGTTTTGGCTTCCCCCTTTTTATTATTATTATTATTTTTTATTTCTTTTATTGTGTTGTTGCCTTCAAGAATTGTGTGGTCACAAATCTGCATAGCACCTTGAATTAATAGATATTAATTCAAAAAAATTTGCTCCGAGATGAGGTGAGAGTGGGGGTTCGCTAGATCCGAATTCATTAGAGGGTACTTTGGTATTTTTTTGTACTTGTTATATTATTCTTATTTATTTTGATCTCTCTATAATGTGTACCATTATTTAAAAATATAGTAAAATTTTTGCAACCCATAAACGTGACTCTAATTCTCTTTAAAAAATATAGTGAAATTACTGTAACCCGTAAACGTGACTTTAATTATCTTTAGGTGAATCACGTTAAATCTGTGTATTCTTGTATGTGTTCGATCTATTTTTTTGCATTCTTATTATTATTTTTGTTTAATTTTGCAATACCCAAGTGCAGCAACCCCTCATGTTAAGAATCAGTAGCCTTGAATGGTTGTTGTTGATACAATTGCTTAAAGAAACAAAACTAGTTTAGGTGCAGATTTGAGTTGTCTTGTTGTCCAGGAAAAGATGCAACAGTTGCGTCCGAAGCAACTCTTATATGGTGTGGAATGTACTATGACATCCACATTTTAGTCACTAAAATTGCAACTGTCTTTGCTAATCCTCCTACTCTCCTTGAAACAAAATCAAATATAACAATTTCGGTAGCAAGAAAGTTCAGTCAAGTTCACAAAAGCTTTGCTTGACTATCTTATAAACAATGTTCTTATGGTTTTGATAAAATTAATGTCATACGACCATCAATTTATAAGATACAATTCGACTCTGTTAGGGCTGCACAAAAAATTGGTGGGATTGAAGAATCGAACCATATCGATTTCGGTTTCAAAATTTTATGGATATTTCATCTATTAATACGAAATGTGGTACCACATCATTGGTACACCTCATCATTAAAAATCTAACAAATCACTTTGTAAGAGTAGTTTAAAGCAGTGAAATTATTACATGGTCTCGGAAGTAATAATCAACACTTGACACTTTAGTAAATGTATCAAAATGGTGTAAGCTTTATTCAACTTTTTGCTGACTTGTCAAGTGTTGATTGGTCGGGACCAATGATTCCAAGATGTGAATTTTCATTGGCCGGGCAATACTAATGACATGACATGACATGACTAGTGCACCCAATATTTTTTTCCATGAGTCCATGACAGAGACACCCTAGGTTTGTAAAGGAATTTGTTGCATAACTAGAGGATTTGTTTGGGAAGCTAGGTTTGTAAAGGAATTTGTTGCATAACTAGAGGATTTGTTTGGGAAGTAAGAAGCAGTGGTTCCACATCCTACTGTCAACAATAACAGGCCAAATTCTACAAGTAACTTCAACAGAAGCACAATAGCATTTTAACCTGACAAACAGCACAACGCAGCAGGAACCTCAAGTAACAGTATCAACAAAGCAAATAGCACCAGCATGTCTACACCATCTGACGAGACAACTTTTATGCTTACTTATCCTCACAGAATACATCATCAAACTCATTCTCAGACACTCGGATAATGTAAGCCTGGATTGATTCACATAAGAGAACCTGCTGCAACTGCTATAAGTTTAAATCTCTGCTATCATTCAAATAAGCCTTTCCAATAGCAAGTGGATCGATTCACTGAAGAGAACCTGTTACAGCTGCTGTGAGTTTAAATCTCTGCTATCATTCTCAAGAAAGCATAAGCCATACATAATAGTTGACACTAAGCCAATAACTGAGATAGAGTTCATATTAACAACTAGGTTCAATACTTCAAGTTCAAGGTCTTCCATCTTGTTCTTCTAGTTTTTTTTTGTCTACGACACTCCTTTTCCCTTCATGTACCAGTGTCAACATGCACGACATGGGTATGGATAGAAGATTTGTAATTTAATGGTAGAAATGGTTTCCTATCTATCAGATAGATGGAAACACTTTTGTTTTCCCTCAAGCCATTTAATTTGAATCATAATCGAGTATATTCTTGTAAAACAACAAAATTGAACATTACATTGTAATAAAACATTATAGTATCAAAACGTGTGGGACATGTCTATGTACCCGTACCCAACTTTTGGATACATATTCCCATATCCTAAGATTTAGTATTCAAAGGGGTACAACACTTAGGCACACACGCACCTGATACACTTACCTGAGTCCGGGTAACAGATATTTATATCCATCCTAATATATTGACACAATTTGATCTTGACAAAAGTTTCCATAATAAAGGAAGGTGTGACAAATTACTTTGCCAAAAGCTCTCATTTCACAAGGTATTCTTACATTACACCCAACAATCGGAACACGATTATATGAGCAAAATAATTATACTGTATAATTGTGTGTGTATATTTATCCCCGAAAGGTTTCCAAATACTTCCATTTATGGAGCAAAAATGCAGTAACACTCGCCTTTCAATGTGATATTTAATAATGTGCTGACTAGTAAGAGTTGACATGGAAATTTACTCTTACCATTGCCAAGATCAAATGCACGTCAATCACACTGGACAACCCCAAAAATCCAAAACATTCACTGGAGTAACACAAGAGAGTATCAGTGACCAAAATGTATATGAATTGAAGGACTTCCAGTAAATTAACAGTTGATAAAACGATATATAAACAACAGAAGTAGTCACTTAAATGATTCAGCAAGAAAAATATGCGAGTCCTGAAGAACAACTGTAAACATACATGAATTGGAAGGTACTGATCATGTAAACCAGACAATATTAGGCCAAATTTTCTTTGATACTGATGCATACTCTTTATGCAGAAAAAGAAAGCGCACATATTTCATAATAAGGTGCGAAGTTATCTTGGGCACAAATTATAAACTGATAAAACCAATTCTTTGCCAGGGGATATCAAATTACTTCTTGTCATTTACCAAAAGAGTGGAAAGTGGAACTAGTTTCACGTTTTAGAAAACGAAAGCTAGTTTTAGTATTCTAGCAGATTTCCTGTAGAAATTCAGTGTCATTTATTTGTTTCAACTACATATCCAACATCTCATCAAATGTAACTTTTTGGCACAGACACCTACGCAATAATCTATGCTGTAGCCTCAATGCTTCAAATACATCTGGATATAAAAATACTCACACACACCCACAAGAGCCCATATGGGGCTCAAACCCCTCACCTCCCCTTTGAGGGAGAAAAGGTTATACCACCTGGGCTAATGGCCCACTGGTATCTTTAAGGACAATTACCAGCCTTTAACATGATATAAACTAAAAAACTGGAGACTGTTCTCCTAAACCATAGAAAGGGAGTTCAGAAGAAGCTTGTTTGTATTCTGTGCTGCATGGGTCGGAAAAAAAGTAACTGCAGGAAGAGCGCTGGGGAAGAGGGTTCAAGTTTCCGTCAAGCAGGTCGATAATTTGGGCTGGTGGAGAGCTGAACATAGAGTGTAACAGAAAGGCTATGACTCAACTCAGCAAGGCCATCACCCATCAGATCACCACGGTTATCCTCTCCACGGGTGTGAATAATCCTGCTCTCCTAATCTCTTCTTAAAAGTGCATAGAAGTCCGCAATGAGAACACCATTTGGACCTGCATCTGAGTCGATTTAGAGGAACAGAGAGGAAGAACACCCATTAAAATCTCATTTGGCCAGAAAAAGTCCGAGCTTGTAGGACTGCCATTCACTCTTTTGCAGCAGCTCTTTCCAGTATCTTAAAGCTTGATATAGGATTCTTCATCAACAAAAGGAATAGCATTTTACAAGAATGATTTAAAGAAGCAAGTTGAATTGTATTCAATACTCTTCTCTACAGTAAGATTGCTTTCGTTATTCAGCCACACCATGCAACATCACTTATTTGAGTGATAGGAGAGGAGGCCATGACAAAAATTAAACAAGTTCTGTATCCAGGTATTTATTCATTTTGATTCTTGCATACTCTTCCATCAAAAAATCTTTGAAACACTCATGTCAGAATTACGGAAATTTACAGCAAAGTCCATGTGATTTATACCTTGAGAGTAATGTGTAATGAATTTACTTTGTGTTAGACACCTGGCAAGTCTATATTGACTGACTTCAAGGATCATCAGTGACAAACACCTCCTTGGTCAAAATCATAATTGCTGACCGCATGTCTGTTATTGTTCAATGTCAACACTTTTAGCGTGGTTGTTAACTAAAAAATGAGTCTGGTATATCGGACTCTGACGACTTTAGCATACAATATATAGGTCGTTACTCAAGATAAATCATCTTTCAATATTCATCAAAACCCCTTAAAAATCATTAAAACCTTATATTATTAGATTTTGAAGTTAAAAATTCCGTATTGGATTGATTAGGCCATGGTGTTGCAAGGTTGAAAAATTTTCATCTGTGCGGTTTTTGATACTGTTATGTACTGCTCGGAACACCCCATGTCCATCACACTGCAACCGCATCTGTTGTTTATAACCTTGGACTCTACTAAAGAGGCCATCAACAATGCCTTATGTGAAGCACCAAGAGGCCATGATGCAGAATCAATAAGAGCTGCAGTGAGTACTTTGGAATCACAAAACTTAATGGCAGTGGTTGCTATCCACCATTACAAACTCTGATACACAATGGATAAATGTAAATTCGTGTCAATTTGTCGGCACTCAACCCTGAAAAGCAGCATCTCAGTAAATGCATCCAAAATTCCCAACAACTCTGGTGCTTGAATAAAATTTACACGAGCAGACACGCATGCATGCACGCAAACACACACACACACACTAATAGCAGTTCATCTGTTACTCAAGTTGGCTTCAATTTGATGCATACAACGCTTTTGTTTTATTTCTTCTTGTTATATTGTCGGTGCTGAAGCAATAATTATGTGTCAATTTTCATAATATAAGAATTAAAAAGGATGAGGAGCTATCAAATGATTGAGGCATATTTTACCAAATTCGATTCCAGATATACAGAGCATAAAAAACCGAAGTACCTTGGGAAAATGCAGTTGTTCAAAATATCATCTAAAATTCGAGAAACACGCTGTCTAAGGTCTTGAGCTGTTCCATCTCCTCCCCACAGGCAATTCCAGGTTCAATATAGCATATCTGAAACACATTTAAAATATCAACCTATCAAATAACAATTGGACAAAAGATGAATGTTTCTAATGTGATATAACCTGGTACTGCGGCTTCTTCAGTGTGTGAACACCTCTTTTTATTAACTTTTGCCATCCAACACTTCCTTTGAGAGATTTTTCCAGAGTTGCTGTTCTCTGTAGGTAACCCAGAAGATTGCTGAGAAATGTGGCATTTTTGATACAGTATATGTGCTAGAACAATTATATCGAGTTAAAGTATTTTGGACAACCAACAGAACCATATATCTTTAAAAAAAATAGATAACTACTGCAATAAGTGTAAACAAAATTAACTTGACAATCTTTTAGGAAGCTAACGCAATCGAATATCTGAGACATTTCAAAATTTTAATCAATTCTGACTAGGAAAACTGCATATAGTTCTCAGTACACTTGAGGAGTTTGTTTTCATTTGACCACTTATAACAAATTACGTGATTCTTATATCAGATCGGCACCAATACCACAAATTTATAGCCATAATTCTTTCCAAATTCATAGGTGTCAGTTATCAAGTTCTTAAAACTCCTCCACTTTTTGCTACAGTGGGACTCAGGGATAATTAATAAGTGCATTACCTAGAGTATAACTGTATATCATGCCTTCGCGTGGTGCTGCAAGGGAAAAATTTGAGAGAGAGTCAAGAGACCTAAACTTTGAGTAAACCTTCCCAATTTTTTTTACAATCATTAACCCAAGTGTCGATCAATAAATCTGTCAGCAAGTGATAGTTTTGATGGGAGAAAACGATGAGAAAACAATACTAAATCAACTTACTAGAGATATAACCCAATGTAAAATATATGAAGAGAAGATGGTAAGATGAGGGAAATTCATGACATAATATATATGGATTCTTGTGGGTAAGCAAGGGAAAAACTACGTCTAAGATGGTGGAGGTCCTGGGTGGACTGGACTTTGTGCAAAAGGATGCAAGGTATGTTTGTAGAGAGCACAGGTTGGATGACAGCAGAGTGCATGGTCAAACATCATGGACACTTTAAGGGGATCTTTTTAGGAGAGGAAGAACTGCACAGCCATAGAGCTGCATGACCAAATCCCATGGAGATATGACATCGCGTGAGTATTCAATTGTATAGTGAACAGTGTAACTCAATTAGGAGAGCAACTGCACAGCAGCTAGTATGATACTGGTGTAACCGTCGGATGCACAGCAATGGTGATACCATTACTTTAGTCAATGACCTGAAGTCACAGAACTTGATCTATGTAAAACCTTGTGAGGGACTAACATCTGCCATATTCAGGAAGGACTAAAAAAATGGACAGTTACCTGGGGTCTGATACATCAGAATAGGCAACCACATAATAGACCTAGAGTACATAGAATCATCCAATTGACCAATGATGTACACTGACCTCACGTCCTCCACCACCAGCATTGGTGGTGAAAGTTGTCACTTGTGGCAGTATGAAGAGCATTGGGGATAGGTACCACACTAGACAATCCAGAAAGTTCCACATGTCCATGAGTTTTGGAATTCTAAGCCATATATCTAAAGGAGTGGCCATTACCTAGAGTAGGTCCTGGCTACATCGAATTAGGGGAGGGGATGATTGAATATGGACCAAATGTTTTAACCTTTGGCATTATCTTTGTATGAAGTGATTTTTTATTAAACTCGAAACCGCATCTCACTCTTAGAAATTTAAACCTGTACCATTACACCAAGCAAAATGAGGATCCAACTACTTAAATAGAGAAGTATGAAGAACACTAGATTGTGTGGTACACCGTACATTACTTTGTTACATGGTCCTATATTACAGGTTAACTGCAGCTACCAAGCTAAAATGTATCTGGACAATATTAAACACACCCACAGATGGATGAAGTAAATGGTTAAACTGAAATGATTAGATGCATACAATAAAGGCAAACCATCAAAACTATTAATTTTAAACACACAATCAGTGTTAGAGCCAGCATAATTTTCATATGTACTGCCGTTGGTGATATTCTATAATCAAATGCAACTCATATGCATACTTACATGAGAAGGATCTAAGATTAACAGATTGTATTGCTGCATCCCTTTCCGCTGACGTTTGGCTTGAATCCCAACAACTGTCCTTGAATGCCCATCATGCTGGAAGTACAAGGGCCTGTTATTGGAACTCTCACAAATTATTATACAATAAAGGATGTATTCTTCCAAATGTAGATTTACACAGTCCCAAACAAACTAATCAGTCAGAACATTGAAGTTCAATTCAACAGTCACTAACATTTTCTCACTGACAATAACACGAGGATTGCCTGATTTAGTGATCTTACTGTCAGAGAAGTAATTCCACACCCAATCAATGAGAACCTGCTGACCCTTGGCCGACTTTGTAAAACAATTGTTAGTATTGTCACTATTTTCCAGGTTATCATTACTTCTGCTGACTGAAGTACCCGGATCATTCCCAAGTTGGAAACTAGAATATCTGGAGTTTTCATGCCCACTGGAACCCTTTTGGGGAATATGGTGATCCCCTCTATTCAGAAATCTGTCCATTGGTCCATATACCTGCACTGCCTTCCTCTTGCCTCCATTGCCTAAACTGGGAGTAGAGGATATTGTTTTAGTTTCCTTAACACCAAAATCCACTATCCTGGCACGAAGCCCAAAAGAACGAAAAAGTGTGGCACATTCAGTAGTTCCAATCCACTTTGTTTTGCCATAAATCTTGTGGCCAAAATGATTCGAGCCAAGTATATCAAAATCCTTTTCCCAAGCAATTTCAAGCCATCTCTGGAGTGATGGAATGTCAGGAACGAATTCCGAACCACCAAACAGTACCTCCCTCACATCTTTTCGTTGCATAAGCAAGTGTGAGGAAAGCATCTGGATGTTACGCCATCCACAGCCCCAACCAATGTCCTCTTCAATGCTCTGAAAATGATCAACATTGCCTGATAATATACTAGTTGAGTTTTCAGAATCTAATTCCAAACACCTCCTCAACAAGGCTATCAAACCATCATCAACTTTGTAGAAGGCTGCCCTAATCTGTAAACTATTTAAGCAACAAATCTTTTCATGAATGCGAGTTTCTCCATCAATATTGGTCTTGCCATCATTCCTTAACATATCACTTTTACGGTTCTTTTGAGTACTGGTTTCACATTGCATGTCCTCATTCAACTGATTATTCTGCCAATATAACCATCAATAAGCTAACGTTAGTATATTAAGCTGCATATTTTGACAAGGTATGGGAAACCTAATAGACAAGTACAAGAAAATACACAAATGATGGTGCAATTATTCGGTGACACATAGAAACTTTTATAGTGTTTATGAAAAAAAAAAAATACTTGTATAATATGCTCCAAGCTTCGCATGTGAGTGACGTCCCAATGATGATTCTATTGAGGAATTCAGTACTCTGGTGTGTGTATAATTTTTCCAAATCTCTTTGAAATCTCCCAAAGTTTACTATATAATTTGTTTATATCTTAATCCAAACCATGTCTAATTCTAGCTCCCATGTACACAATTAGCATTAAAAGTACTTGAATATGAATATCAAAGAAGTAGACAAGCATTTTCCGCCTGGCAAAGAATGTGAACCTGCATAGGAGGCTTTTAACCCATTTCGGTGCAATAATTATTATTCAAGAAATTTCAATTTTCTCTTAACCTTTTTCCGATAAACACACACATAACATACTATACACAGCAAAATACACACACATTTACACCTACACACACGGAGAGTACCACAGTTAGAGGTGGACTTGATGGGGCAAATGCAATTGCCTGCGCCAATTCCATGTCCCTCTCGAGTTCCTCATCATCGAAGTGATTGTTCGCATGCCTGCACCATTAATTCACAAATCTCTATTAGAAAATTAAATTTCAACAGCATACATATATATAGCTGAACAAAACACACACACACATATTGCATACAGGTGTGTGTGTGTGTGTGTGTGTGTATAGATGAAAAAGGGCAAATTAATAGAATATACCTTTCTAGTTCGAGGAACGGAACTGTAAGATGACAAAAGGGGCAAATCGACAGGTCCATAATTCCCGCTTTTATTATGAAATTTCAATATTCGAAAGTGAAGCTCTCTCTATCATCTGTATATCAATTGCTAGCGATCACAATCATCATATGTAATTAAGTATATATATATAATATTATATATACACGTACCGCTTTTATTATGATTTCAATATTCAAAAGTGAAGCTGTCTCTATCATCTGTATATCAATTGCTAGCGATCACACTCATCATATGTAATTAAGTATATATTTATAATATTATATATACACGTACATATATACACAATTCTAACAGCAATATCAGTGGTAAGGGCAAAGCAAAAATAGGAGATTAAAAACATTACCCACAGATAAGCAAATTAAACAATAGGCGATGAAAGGGAGAAAATTCAATTTGTCTAAAACTTCCCATTAAATAACCAAAATACCCATGTACGCAATAGAGTACTTGCACCTTGTGCTTTAAATGATGGTACACTTTTCCAAATGCATTACTGCACATTATTGGGAAGTAAATATAAGGACCTGTTTGTTAGGTGTTTTACTTTAGTGTTTTTGTTGCAGGCCTCCATTTCAGGCCCAAAAACATGTTTGGTAACCCTTGTTTTGTTTTAAACAGTACAAAAACATTATTTTAAACAGTACTCAATTTGGGCCCAAAAGTGAAACACCGAAATGGTGTTTGTTGTTGTTTCTAAACTGTAGCCCAATAAAAAGCACTGTAGTGGTTGAAGTAAGTTGGGTCTAACACTGTAGCGGATGAAGTAACTTTAAAACGCGTTTGCAACATTTGGCCCGATCTTTTCTCTCTCCTCTGAAACCATAGAGAAGGCGATTTGGAAGGCGACGAAGATTTAGGCTCAAATTCAGGCGGAATGAAGAGGGGAAGGAGGATACTACAGGTTGCAAATAAACAGAACAATTCAGGCAAATATTTGAGCTCGAATTTTAGGCTTGTTAAATAAAGAGTCAATTTTGAACAATATTTGATCGCTCATCTAAACCATGTCTAAATCCGTGAATATGAGCTCATGTAAGCTCATATATAATCGGATCCATATTGACTTACAAATACGTTCATAATTATAAATTTGTATATGTTCATAAACATAATACAGACTTACTTATGTAGATTTGTATAATAAGTTCATAAATGAGTCAAAATAGTTTTGAACACAAGTTCAAATCGAGTTTGAACGACTTTTGTTATTAAACAAACAAAACTAAACTAAACTGAACCTCACAAATGATCGAGCCGAACCTGAACAATTATTTTAGGCTTGATTAACCTTCCATTCATTTACTATCCCAAAGAAGAGAGAACCAAGGATTTGTCAAACATTTAAACCATGTTTTTCCTCAAATAAAGTGAAATGATGCACTATCATTTTCCTCTTTTCCTTTCTAACTATTCAAATAAGAAGATATTAATCAATAAAATCATTCCTTTCTTTTTCTTATCTTTTAACTGATGTTATTCTTGAAAATATAATAATAGACCTATGTTTTGAATTAGTTTGCGCAAGGTAAACTACTTTTATACTTGAATTTGTATATTTGGCTTTTAGCTCTATCATAAAATTTAAAATATGAAGCCAAATTATTATTATTTACCTGGCAAACAAAATAAGATTACATCATTTGAGGATTACAAGGCGATTAATGAACATCATCAGGACTAACCACAACTAATGGGCCGAACCCACTAGAACTTGTTGGAGTGGCTTACTTCCCACGCACCATAATGACCATCATTACAAACTTTGACAAGTGGACCCATAACTGGCACCACACAGCAAGAGGCAACAAATGAGGACGACGTAACAACGTATATCGACAGAACGGAGTGGACTGATAGATTGCAAACGTACTATCATCCCCGTAAGCTCCATCATTATGAACTCCATCATAGGCCTTTAAACTCCAGATCTGATAAAACATAAATATCGCACTTGCAAGATTGAATAACTGCAGCGGCCAAATGTGGCCAAAAAGACGTGAATGAGTAGCCAATAAACGCCACCGATACCAAGACAGCAAAGGCAAATACGGCCTCGGTGACTTTGCAACCACAACATATTCAACAACCACCCCAAAAAAACATCGTCGAGTATTGCAATGACAGAAAAACCCAGCCACCAAACAGAAGCCTTCCCACCCATGGGAAGAGTAAAAGCAAGGCAAGCATAGAACCCTAAAAACAACAAACACCAGGAAACACAGTACAATGGACAGGAAAACAAAAGATATATGCATAATATCTGAATCAAAAGGGAAGAGCAGCAAGGATGGGGTCACAATCCGTCTAGTGCGCGAAATCCTCGACTTTACGCCCCACAACTCCCTTTTACCCTTTCGGCCAACAAATCAGAAAAAAAGGAGAGAGAGATCACTCTAATGAGCCGAGGAACTCCTATGGGAAGGAGGACTCCTACGAAGAGGAGAAAAAGAGTGCGTGAAAAACTTCTAGGGAGGCCTACCATTACTCCTACCATTTATGATTTACGCTTTCACTTTTGAAATTTCACATTCATGTCATTAAAATAAACGTGGACCTTCATAGCTGTACAACATGGTGATTAGTCCTGCATTAGGAGTGAATGTCTCCGAACATAAAAGACTGTTTTGATACTTTGCGCACGAGATCTATTAAAACAAGGCCATCTGAGACTTCAATCATCGGTAATTTCATGTATCATACATGTAAAGAAACATCCATTTGTACCAGTTGTTTCATATATTCATATACACTTTATTTGCCTCGATTATATAATCGTATTATATATATATACAGAAATCTCCCAGTGTCAAAAAGCACAAAGAAGAAGACTCAGAAGCTATAAACTTCTTTCAGCATATAACATGAGAATTTCAGCCATTACATGTACACGACTTGTTAGTCCTCTCTTAGAACAGGTGTATTCAGAACATGTTACACGAATGTTGTGGTTGTGGTGCTCCGGTATCTAGAACCGATCAGCAGCGACCCATCTTATCTTCTTCGGATCTCATTGTTCGCACACAAAGATTACTCCACAAAAGCAGAGCAGAACTAAGCTGCTTCTTTGCCGTCTACCCAAGTTCGGCTCTTGGAGAGTAGCAGGTCCTTCATCTCTCTGAAACGCCTGAGCTCCTCGAGTGCATCAGATGTCTTACGAGGTAAAAAGAAGCTAGAAGTTGCACCAACTTCTCCCTCAGGTTCAATCTTTGAGGCATGAGGCGAGTAATAACTTGAATCTTGACGCAGAGGAGGTGCTGTCCTTAGCATGTGAACCAGCGCACCAACAGCAGCATCTTGTGATTTTCGAACTGCTGTGAATGGTTGTGAAGTAAATTCTGAAGCCTTTTTCTCATCAAGATTCTGACTGTACCACAGGAAAGAAAATTTGCACTGTAAGTACTGAAATTACCAAAGCATTAAATATAGGAATATGTGTGCGTGTGTGTGTGTTTTACTATATTAAAAAAAGGAAAAAAGAAAAGGATCGATACTAAGACAGGCTCAACCCATTGAACCTGATCAATTTACAGCAGATTTGCTAAAACCGGTAGGGGGGAGAGAGAGGAAGAGAGCTTCTATTTCAACAAAAATAGTCTAAACGCATCTTCAAGTTCAAATAAGCTTTTGACCTCATTTAGCCACAAATCAAAAGGTTAACTATCCTTTATTGTATGTCAAACGAAAACACATGCATTGAGATTAAGATTTGAACATCATCAAAGTAAAATGTACCCGGCAAAAAGAATTTGAAAAAATCAACTTAAATTTTCAAACAAAAAATTCTAGCTGTGTCAATTATGACTTGCAAGCTTGCTACTCTTCCTCAATTATTGCCAGCACCTGGGAAGTGAATGCATCCAACAAACTTGTCATATTCTTCCATGTTGTCACTAGCCATGAAACAACGGAACAAAGTGAAACTGATATGACAATAATATCCAGAAGCCATAATTATTCGAACACACAAAACAAAAACATAACCCGCAACTGACACAAGTACTGTACCAAAGTCGTAGCATTGCCTAGTGCCACTTCTCCTTCCCACCAAAATCTCACTTGACGTGGAAATTATTTATGCACATAAGAAGTATTAGAAAATTAAAAACATTCATAGCTAACAAACTGATGCATGATGGTTAACAGAGATATTGCTAACTCATAAAGTTTTTTCCCCCTTCCTATAGTTTCAGAGGCAGAAATTTGTTCAGGATTTATTTTTTCCAGATGCCAGTTCTTATAATTTTGGGAGTGCGCCTTCAGCCATTCACACACTTTAGAGAGATTCAAAATGAACATAATTTATCAAGCAATAAAAGAGGGAAAAAAAAAAAACTCAGTCAGCACAGTCAACAAAAATATACAATGACAAAACATATATACAAATTAAGCAACATATAATCAAACAACCAGACACAGAGATTAGGATTTTGGCCATCAAGATCCTATATAGAGTCCTATACAATTGATGAAAAGGTAAATAAGTCAATCTTAAGCTTCAATCCTACATGTATATATTTCCTCCCACTTAGTGGAACTTGGACCGTTAGAACTAAATGTAGAACATGTTAACCAAGTAAGACCAATGTGGATATGATGAGAGCAAAGCTGAAGGAAAACAATGGCATGATTGTTCCAAGGACGGTTTGGGGAAGGGTTGCAAATGGATGCTATTAATTGCTAGTTTAATTTTAATAAAAAACCAAAGCATGAAGTTGATATTGCGGCTTGAGACATCCTTCATCCGAAGAATAAACAAGAAAAGAAGAAGAAGAAAGAGAGAAGGAAGAAAAGAGAGCTTAGGGTTTTTTCTGTGTTACTGTGAATGTGAAATGAAAAGTTTAAATAATACTCCTCATAATAACGTAAAATACTAATCAAAAACTATTCCTCAAGTTGAGGTCAAGGACACTGAGCTTAATCCTGGAGGGACAACAGTTCATATAAGACACTTTTGTCAATATACTTGTCAGTGACAGTGTCAGTCAGTCTCCAGTTCAGGTGAAACAATATATATACCATTCAATTTCTCCTTCAGAAAATGTTTGTCCACTTCAATATGCTTTGTAAGGAAATTGTGCCTCAAATTCCTATTCTAGTTACTAATCAGCTGTCTAATTAACAGCAACTCTTGATCAGGATTTAGGAAAGTTCTCGTTAGATAAGTCTTAGCTAAAAAAGAATTGTAATCCTTGTTGAACATAGGAACTTAGGTTTAGAATTCCAAAAATAGGTAACGAGGCCGTTGGTTGAGACTCGTGTGGAATGAGAGAATGTAACAGCATTGACTCATAGAGGAGATGAACGTGTGAGAGTCATGGGTCCTCTACCAAACAATAGTAGACATGTGGTTAAAGATTAGTAGAGTGGAAGAATGCCGATGGTGATAAAGAAGCATTGTAGAGAGGTACAACGTGAAGGGCTTGGGTACTAAACGCACATATCCAGGAGCAGAAATTCAAGCACACAATCTGGTGTTGGATATTCTCTATCGTGGTAATATTTCTACAAAATTATACTGGAATATCTCCTCATCTGTGTATTTGAGTTGTGTCGAACTATGTATATCTTGTACTTTTGTGTGATTGCTTATTGTTTGTGATTGGATCTTAGGGTGCTTCCGTTGACTCAACACTTCGCCATATCATCTTCCTCGGGTAATGTGCAATGATGCACAAAAAATTTACTATCAAAATAGCTAATTAAAAAGCTAAAGCAATGGAAAAATCAAGAATTGCTTTAAAATTGATATATGTCATGCATGTTAACAAAAAGGAAGCAGATGCCATGTTAAATGACTTAATCACATCTAAATTCTTCATAAACTGATAATATCCCTGCATAATTAACAAGTTACCACATCTTATAATCCAGTCATATGACCCACAAACAAATAAATAAAAATATAGTTATGTATTGTAAATTAGGAGTTCACAGAATTCATGAATTTCTTGAAACTTGGAGAGTGAGACTACTGGAGGGGGAGAGAGAGAGAGAGAGAGAGAGAGAGTGGACTGTAAATATTACAGATCTCCTATAATCATTCATGGACAACAACATCCAAAGCAAGTCAAGAAAGAGACAATTTTTGTGTTTAGAATTTGCAACTAAGGTCAAAACTTCTAAATAGTGAAGCCACAAATCTTTCTAGTGATCATTTACCAGGGAAAAAAAAAACTTTCTGGTGCTTCAAGTACAGTTGCTTGGAACATCATAAAAAATGTTGCTACCAAAAGATATAAGAAAGTTAAACCGTGAAAAGACACATATGGAATCTTTATCATGTAAGACAAGGATGAATAGTTCGGATTTTGATTAAACTGCCTTTGTCAAATAATGCTGACCAATCTAGCCATTTCACCATGATCACATGTTATCAACAAAAGTGATTACAAGTATGACTGGAGTTTTTCTGGTGACCCATATGTTGGCAACCATAGGTATGTTAGGAGTTTGTCTTTAGAAATTTCCAAATATTTAAAGAAATATATTTAAAGAAATTGTATTAGTTTTTCAAATTATTTGTAGTAGCTCGATACCAAGAGCTATCCCAAATTTCAGTTTTGGGTAGTTGTTAGCTCTTAAGAAAGAAAGGTCTCTTCAATACTGGCAAGTACTGTTTCGAAAATTCTTCTGACATTTTAATGCTAAAGACTCAAATATGGGCTGAAACTTTTTATTTATTTATTTTTGATAGTTTGAAATATGGTCTGAAACTTCCTGAAGAAAATGACTCTTTTGTGGTATCTTAGTTATTTAAATAATTATTATTACAATTCCATTTGAGAAAGATGCACAAAAGGTTAGGTAGATAGCATAAAAAGAGAGAGTGGGAGATGGACAGAGGACCAAAGCTCTTCATCAATTTTAATTAACTAAAAATCGTCACCCCTCTTACATCCTTAGGATAGGCTTTCTTTGCAACCTAATGTACCAAAAGGCACCTAACCTAATACCCATATGTGGTACGGCCAATATAGGTATAAAACACCTAATATAACTTATAAAACAAGGTCCAAGCACTTTTTTAAAATTTGTACTATTTCCATCACAAAATTTTGAAAAAAGAAACAAAAATCTTTATAATAAAAAAAAAATAAAAAATAAAAAATCTTACTCAAACTATAATACAACCTACACCAATCTTACTTCTAAACCTAATGCTTCGTTTGGTAGGAAAGAAAAATTTTGATGGAAGGGAGAGAAGAAGGGATTGATGAGACATTCCTAGAGAAGAGATTATGCACTTCCCTCTTTTTGTTCGGTTTGACGGAAGAGAAGAGAATAAATTCACAATTTATTGTGTTTGTTAGAAGAGAAAGAAAGTTAAGAGTTTTAAATTGTTTTTGCCATTACACCCATCATTATCTATATTATTGTAATTTATAGAGGATAGTATTGTAATTTAAAAATTGTATAATTTAGGATAGTATTGTAATTCAGAACTTCCATAATAGCACCACTTGTCTTCCCTCCTCTCTTCCGCCCATATTTGGTGGGATGAAAATTTGTAAAGGAGAAAGGATGACTCATCCCTCCTATTATCCTTTCTCTCATTATCTCCTCTCCACCAAACGAAGGAAATTTGTTCTTTCCTTCCTATTTTTCATCCACTCCTCTTCCTTCCTTCCTACCGAACATAGCATAAATGAATTTGAAAATTAACACACAGCATGTGTCTTTCGTGTTGCTATTACACCAACGAACAATCCCCATAGCTTTGAGCTTGCCTGTATCAAGTTTTCATAAAAATATAGAATTTCTCTTTTTTCCACATTATAGTTCTTCCTTATCTCATTATCGAACTTTCTTTTCTTCTCCCAGAATTGTTATTAGGTTGCACACATAAAACATAGATTCCTTTTAAAACCATTTACTTTATCATTTTGAAAATCCTAACATAATAGATCGAAGTTGTAAACAAAATGTGAAGAACCCTTAAGTTATGTAAAAATAAAGATATGGCCTTCCAAATTGAGTCACAGATAGTGAAAGATATCCCTCAAGGCGAATCCATAATATTTTGTTTGCACAATTAGCATGAAAATAAGAGTGAAATTGAAACTACTTGTATAACTAGGATGAAAAATAGGCAGACCACTGAGGTTCAAACCCTTGACCTCCCTTTGGGAAGTAGGAGTATTGAACCGCTAGGCCACAGGCATGTTGGTCATATAATTTTGTTTGCATAACTAGCATGAAAATAATAGTGGACTATGGACCTATTTGGTATAAATTTGTGGAAATATCTATTCTCATTAGGCTGACAGTTTTCTAGAAATTTTTACTTGAAAACAGTCTGAAAATTTCTTGATGTTCTGCAGAATTGAACCAAACTGGCACTATATCTCTTGTCAGCAACCCAAACCATTTGAGTCAAGTCAAATAAAAGGCAGTCAAACTTCTTTCCCATAACAACTCTTTCATATCAATGAAACTACAATCCTACAATCATCAAGCTAGTAACTGTAACAATCATCAGGCTAACAAGTATATTTGACTAGGTAAGATTACGCATTTGCATTGAAAATCACTGTAAAGGAAATGTAAATAGTTTGACTAACTGGACTATAACAACAAAATCCATATCCGCATCAGGACATCAAGACATTGAGGTAAATGAAAGTACCTGAAAGGGGAATCTGATGTATCAACATCATCAACAATAAATGGACAAGAGAAGTCACAATCATCCAAGTCATCTTGAAAAGATAATCTACTAGAGCTTCTTGAGAATCCAATACGTGGTGAACCACTTGAAGATAGCAATCCTGAGAATCGTCCAGAATCATCTTTGCTATCTTTTAACATCTATCAAACAAATATCAATAGACCTCAGCAGTAGGCACATAAGATACAGATTTAAACTAAAAAGTCAGTGTTTGAGAAAACCAATAAGTTGAAGAAATCAAGGACTACCTTCTGACTATAATAGTGATTTGCGATTCCAGAATTCAGCTCCCCAGCTCTTAGTGATTCTGATATCTTAAACAACCTGCTTCCAGATGGGGAGTCCTGTGATGAAGGATCAGGCCTTGTACTTTTTGGGGATAAAGGTGGAAGAGAATGTCTATTTGGATCAGAAAAATTGGGAGAAAGGTATCTAGGACTTCTGCCCATCATTGGATGTGGGATACTTAAAGGGGCAGTCTCTGAATGCGGACGAGTTTGCATAGGATTACCTCTAGAAAGGTATGTTGGGGGAGATGGGGAAGGAGACGATGAAAATGGGGGTGAAAGCTGGTATTCATCAAAACTGGTTGCGTTATGATGAGTTGGAAGTCTATACGATTTTTGACTGTATGTATCAGTAGGTGAAGGTGTAAAATCATATGATACAGTAGATGTTCGACGGGCAGGTGGAGATCCATAAAGAGGTTGATTCTGTGCTAAAGGACTTCCCCAGTTCAGGCCACTTGTCCAGCTGTGCGGGCGCTGAAATGGTGCTGAAGAAGGTGGTCTTGTCTCTCTCAATTGAAAGGATGTAGCTTGGACACTCTTTCCAGTGGAGCGGAAAGCCCTGAGAGGGTCAGTGGCAGGGCTACCAACATAATCTGTAATAATCTGTGCTGGGAACAAGGCAGAAGTCTCAAGGTTGAAATCAGACAGACTTTCACGATATGTCACAGATATGGAGAGACGACCTTGGGGAGCATCTACAGAGAGGACAGGGCGTGGCTTCATCAGTCCCTCCTCTGCCCTCGAAAAAGGAGCACTAAATGAAGAAACCTTGTAGTTGATATCAAAATCATAAGCCTGGCTTGACGAAGTAAGCTTCCGAAAGGCCCGGTGTGCAGGAAGGAGCCTCATCATTGAATAAAGAGAACGTAAAAGTATGATCAATTTCTTATAAGTTTTCTTGTAAGAAGCAGAAGATTCCCCAAATTGAGTATGCATTGTCCTGATATACTCATATTGAACAGTCCACCTCTCTATAACCGTCTCAACACTTTTCCCCATTCCTAAATTACTACATGAATTGTGCACGGATGAGAGATTCGGCCCTTCTTGGACAAGTATTATGTCAATTATCATCGGCTCCATTAAATTTCTGTGCCAGAAATTCAAATTATCTAAAGAAGCAGGACGGTCTCCTAGTACTAAACCGAACCACTTGTCACTCCTTTTCGCTTGAACAGCACCAGACGACGCATCACCACTGCGATGGGGCCGAATCGAAGGAACCCTAGAGTCCAATACAATATGCAAGCTTTTCAGAAGAAACTGCGAAACTATTTGTTCAAACCGTCCATATTCAGGCTGAGAATTACTCTGAAAATCCATGTTTCTCTACAAACACACCATTACACAAATTCCTAGTCCTCCATCTTATAATGGACTCCCATTTACCACTCTAAACAACTTAAATTCCGTAAATCTAGATAATGCAGTTCCAACTCTATCCGTGGCTGTAAATACACAAAACCCATCATCAACCAAACCAAATCTCTCTAACTCATTGCTTTATCTGTATGAAAAAATATATGCCTGATGGATTGATAGGTGGATTTCGAAATTCTCGAAATAATAAACAATAAATAGACATAAACTTAGGTATATTTTTATCATCAGAACTCAGAAAGATTCAAAAATCAAAGATACAGTACAAGAACAAAGAAACAACAGGTCAATCTGATCGAATTCGAGAGCACAATGATGATAACGAATCGACGAACATGTGAGTAATTGAACTAAACATGTTAATATAAATAGATTTATTTAATCACTATAAATTTAACAATAACTATCTTATGAAATCGATGAATTGATTGAAGAGTGAAAAGGAAGGTAAAACTTACTCAGGATAAGAGATTTCTTCAGCACCGGAGAGAAAGAGAGATTAGAAAGAAACCCGACAATGATTGCGTAGAGCAGTGTCTCTGCACTTATAGACTCTTTAATGTAAATTAATTAATCACTTTAGTTTTATTTTTTTTTCGAAATTAATCACTTTAGACTCTTTGATTTTGTTTGATTTCGGGCGCCATGTTTGTTTTTAGAGTATATTTTTATTTTCCTTGTTTTGGCATCAAATATGAAAATTTAATTGAAGAGTAAATTACACTTAAACCGTTTAGGTATATTACTTTATTCTTTTGCAAATTTGACATTCCTGAATCAAGTTATCGGCCAAAAAGTTATATTGGATGTGAAAATTTGGTAAATGATAAAATTATCATTTTATAAAATCTGGTCCAACATGCATAAGGAAAAAAAATGTTAAGGTGCCTTTGGACCGCAAGTGTAAAAAAATAAAAACAACCTACTCAAGTGTAATTTGTTCAATTCTAAAGAAGGTCAGTATAATTTATCCTTAATTTGACCAACTCCACTCTAATATCTTTGGTATTTGAAACACAGAGATAATGGGATGTTTCATTTGATAAGAAGCAACAAAAATAGGTAAAGAAAAATAGGTAGGAATAAAATAATAGTCTCGATATTTAATTAATTGTTTAATTGCATTTTTATTTGAGTTTGTAATTATTTGACTAATTGGTTACCTGTGAAATTGATTTAATTATCTAATTGTTATTTGTTGTTTTATTTGAATAATTTGGTTAATTAAATAATGTGATTAGATGATGTGTGTAATTAATTGTTTAAATTAAATGTTTATTCTGTTTATTTTTATTTTTATTTTAAAAGAATTGGGCTTGGATAGTAGTAATGGACCAACCATTTAGGTCTCATGGATTACTTGGATAGGAAATTAAATGGGTACAACTATTATCCATGGATAGTTATACATATATGTATGGATATATATGTATATAATGTTAGTTTAATTATTAATTATTATTAATGGTTAAATTAGCAGTAATATTCAGTATATATGTATTATATAGTTTTAAGGTTTGATATATATAAATGATAACACGTTGTAGGATAACAGACTTATGTATATATTTATTTTATATTATATTTTTCTTTTCCTTCTCCTTGTATAATTAGAATTAGGTGGTTTTTTTTTTTTTTTTTTTTTTTTTTTTTTTTTTTTTTTTTTTTTTGTATAAGCCCATATATATATGCAATATGTCTACCTTAGGATTTTAAAAAACCCTATTCACGTATCTGTTAGAGAAGCAAGAACAGGGAGAAAAACTGAGAGAGGGAAATTAGGGTTTTGGCCAAGGACAGGTGCTGAACCAAGGAAGGGTTATTGAAGCTTGCTTGTGGGTTGAATTAAGAGCAACAGAAAATCTTGACGGTAGGCCGAAGTCGCCGGAAAACCTAGGAAGAAGACGGTTTAAGATTTTCATTCTGAAAACCTTGAAGGCAAGTTCTTCTCTTACTCATTCCCCTAGACTTGTGTTTCTATGCATTCCTAGGACGATTCCATGATTAATTATACTGTAAATTAGTTAATTATGCATGCTAAGTTGAGTTTAACAGATTTAAACAACGTTATATGTATGTTTTATATTTTTTTTATTTTGATAATTCTTGTCTGAAATCTTGTTGTAAGTTATGTTTATGATGCATATCAACTTAATAAATATTACTAGGATGTTGTGGAACAAGGTTAGACCTTTGAGACCATTACCAATGGAATAGAGAGGGATTAGAACTCTCTGGAGACGGGAAAGATGGAGAATAGTTGGAGTGGAGGCGGCTCCATTTGAATGGAGCCGGCTCCATCTCCAATGGAGGCAGCTCCCCAGCTGTGAATACACCAACATGTGTATTTCTGAGGTGTTTTTGGATTTTCAGGGGCTGTAATGTGGTTCTGAACTGTCATGAGGGTTTTAAATGATTTATATAAACATGTAAAAACTCCAGAATGATTAATCTATGCTATTATGCTGTGATTTTAGACATTATGAAATTTAAATATTGATTTGCATGCTGTCAATGGTTATGAAAGATTTAATTGCTTTTCATTGTTCTAACAAGTTAAATGGGTTAATATGAGTTTACTCTTGAATACTTCAATATAATGTGCTCAGTTATTTATCTGATTTTCATTATATCATTATCTGAATTTTAATTGATGAGTTACTTTATTTTGTTTTATCAATTATTGAATTTTGTGGATTATATGCACGAGTATGAGACGGTGGCATATTAGAGACGGATTAGCTCAAAACGCTAAGTCCTACCTATTCATTTATAAGGGAATGGATTAACTATAATGTTAAGTCCTACTTATATTCGTGTCAGGTCAATGAGCAGTTGAATGACATACCTTAGTTTTGGATGAATTTTTATATATATGATTATAATGCCATGATATGAGGTTGAGTCTCAGGATCAATGGTTAGGGAGCGTATATATAGTGGGATGCATAACTGGCTATGATGGTTAGTGGTGTACCCTGTTAGGTCTAGGTATTCATGCCCACTTCAGGTGTGTTTTGCATGTTGCCTATTAGTCAGGTTGAGACCGCCTTGTAGTTTAGTGAAAGTCCCTTAGTGTGTGTGTATATATATATGGACTATATAGCTATTATTGAGTTGTTTAGAATGTATATGTGTATCGGGTCTTTGTTTGGATTGTAGTAGAGTAGAATTTGTTCGTAGGCCTGACCCACTATTATTTTTCAAGTGTTCGACAATTCCAGTCTTAGAAATTGTTCATGCCGAGCAAAGACAGTCATTCACTCCTCTAATTTGACGTAGGACTTTATCTTATGTTTCTTTTCATTTTCAGTTATTTTCTAGTTGGATATTATCAAGGGTCCACTGGATGGATTTCCGAGTTGTAATGATATCAGATGATTTAGATATGTTTTATTGGAGGATTATTTATTTATTAATTCAAGGATTATCAATTAGTTTCTTTTCAATAAATTATTTATTCTTATTATTATTTTTGTATTATGTGTTCGATTTAAAATACTTAATTGTTTGGTATCTCTCGAATCTGTGCTCGGACTTGATCACCCGTGACTTTAGAATCGAATGGTATCACACAACCTAAGTTGCACCCCTATAAAAATTTTATATTATAATACTACTCTTCAAATTATTAGATAAATCTAATATTAGCAATTTCTTTCTTCCCTTCTTTTTTAACAATTCCTTCTCTTCCATCCAATCAAATAAAAAGAGGGAAAAACATTATTGTTAGGAAATATTAACACCCTCTAACCCACAAATTGATTGGTTGTCGTTGAGAGTTAAATCTCTTATTTATCACACATAGTGGAAGTATCATTACAACACATTAACACAAACATCTATGAAGATAACAATCATACATATCCACGCACAATGTAATATTTTACATGGTTCACCCAACCTTAAAGTTACATTCATAAAGGTGGAGATTTTATAAGGAAAAGAATATACAACCACGGATGTCAAAACACCACTCTTTCTCACTATATATATATATATATATATATATATATATATATATATATATTTATTTATTTATTTTATTTTTTTCACTCTTCGGTCTCTTCTTTCACTCTTCTTCTTTCGCGGGCTAAGACTACTAGAATCTCTTTCTTCTCAAACAACATCTAAGGAATTACATATACTCTCCCGTTTCCACATAACACTCTCACCCTTCCAGCCCCTTACATCTTTTCTCTCTCTATCTCTCTACCCAAACTTGTTCTATTTATAAAGTGGTCAAACACAATTTGCCTACCCTTTCACCCCCTTACATTTTTTTTTTTCTATCTACCCAAACCTTCCAAACACGAGAAGAATCCCACAAATACAAGGAATGATCATATCAATCACAACTCTAATATACAACTATCCCAATAAAAAACAGTTTCTTTCACAAGTCTAGGCCTTTGGAAATTCCTAAACATAAAAAGAAACTAATTCCGCACGCAGAGCCACAAACCCAACAAATTATTCCTTCTCTAAGAATACTTATCCATTTATCTTTGGGTTAAGTGTAGGAAACACCCTATAATATACTTACAAGTGCATATCACACCCCTTATGTGCAAAAAAAAACACCTCTAAAATTTCAATTGGGTGCAAATTGGTCCCTCCAGGCATATTTCGTTTGACTAAATTGCCCTTATATATTATTTAAAAATGCATCATTTTATAAAACGAATAAAATAATTATTTAGCATATGAGGGGTGTGATACGCTCTGTAAACATACTATATGAGTATTTTTTTTGCACTTTATAAACTATTATTGTTTTGAATCATTTGATTTTGATGATTAGATTTAATTGAAAACGTAGTTTTATCGCGATTTAAATAATATGATGACGATAGGTGATTGAATATTATAATTTTTTTTTTCCCTAATAAAGATTGATCACCAAGGTGATCAATCTTTATTAGGAATATATATATATATATATATGTGTGTGTGTGTGTGTGTGTGTGTGTGTGTGAAAATTTGTTGCAAATTATAAAGTTTAAAAAATTAAATGCATATTGCTTATATATAATGAATAAGTATCTTTAATTTAATTTTTTTAATATATATTTAATGAAAAATTATAATTGCTATATTAAAATTTTAATTGGGAATACTTTTTTTTTCTTTTTTATAATTATAAAAGGAACGGAGGTTTTTTTTTTTTTTTGAGAGAGAGAGATAATATCGAAAGATAATACAATATTAGCGAAAATATATAGAGAAATTTTTTTTATTCGAAAAGGTAAAAAAATCCCTAAAAGGGAGTTAAATATAGTTAATGTGCACATACTATCCTTATATTATGAGATTATTAGCATACACACCCTTTGAACATTTTCGGAAGACTAAAAGGGCAAAATGAGTATTACAATATTGTTTTATATTAAATTTCTGATTGAGATGTGTTTTCGCACAATTTTAAAAGAATAAGTTGTTTTTTGCACACTTTTTTAAATATGAATAAAAATGTTACGCGGAGTATATATATTAGGAGTGTTTTTTACACTTTACCCTTTTATCTTTCTCTTTTATCTTCCATTTATTTTTATTTTTTCTCACCAAAGAAAACATAAATGAAATAAAAATGGAACAAGCTA